AAGCAAATTCATGTCTCGAGAAATTAATTGATATATACGACATCGTTTGGCATGGCATCAGAGCGGCTGATTGCTAAAAGCGCGTTTACACTGCGCGTAAAGTAAAAAATCAGACGGGAATGACCCGCGCCAGGACGACGTAATTCCGCGCCGCGATGCCGCGTGGCGTTAATGTTAAAATTCTTTTGCCGACAAAGAGCCTAGTGTTCGACAGTGTGTGTACGTGCAATAGCGTACCGGCGAACGGCGGGCGGTGCGTTAATAACTACGACCGAGCTATAAAGCAATAAGTAATCACCATCGTAACTGGGTTAACTGAGGCGGCGACGACGGCGAGAGAGATGTGAAAACGCGATCGAAAACGGCACGGTTCGCTGGCGGATGATGCATTCTACGGGCGCATACCGGAAGTGCAATTTTGCGAGGCGGCCGAAGCGGTGGCGGCAGCGGTCACGGCGGCCACCGAAAATAACCCCGCCGACGAAACTCCCGCAGACGCGAAGCGAGAAAGTCGGGAGAGGGTCGCTTAACCCGTTGCAAACACGACTTTTGTCCGGCGAAAAGTTGAACTCAAGGCTGAACTGAAATGCACTTTTACTGCCGATGAATTCGCGTGAATCGGAGAATGCCGCGTTTAAACTTACTTTCCTTTCAAAAATTGAAATTCATTTACGCTCTGCTCATCTGTCTAATCGTGAATAATGAAAGAATATATAAACATACTAATTATAAAATGATTAATTGAAAACAAAATAATTTTTAATTTCAGAATATGAAATAATATAAAGAATATTATAAATTTATATAAACTAATTATCAGATATATAATTAAGAATTACACAAATTATTTTAAAATTTCTCGAAACCTATTATTCTTTCTGATTCTATTATAATTTTATTAAATGAGAAAATTGCAACACTATGTTTAGCAGAAGATATATTTTATCAAATAATTCAGACAAGCAATTTGCGAATCGATACGAGATTGTTCGCGTTAGACGAGCCATTTTTCGTGGAAGACAGAAGACTGCGCGTCTGTTTCTTCTTCCGCATCGTATTTTCCTTTCTCAAAAGAAAATATTATTCCGCGTGGGAATATCTCTGTATGCCCTATGCAGACTTCTGTCTTTGTTACTTGGCGCACGCCTGCGTTTCTCCACCCGTGTTTCCCGAGGGAGAGACGTAAACAACTCCCACCGTTCTCCCTCGCGATGTAAATACAAACGGGGGATAACCCGTTGCGCAAACTTCCCGCAAAATCTCCGATGGTTTTGGAGAGGATGCTGCGCAGGTGAAAATGAACGTCGAAGTTTTCGATACGTGCCAAGAAATACGCAGAGCCGATTGATTCATCGCGCAAACTCTTCGCGTTTATTTGTCGGTGCTATATTTGTTACTTACGGTTTGCATTTTCGGGAAACAATTGGTCCATTAAATAGAGTCATGTGAAATTGGATAATTTCAATTTTTGCTTTTACCAATACATACAATTTAATGAATTTATTGTAAACGCGACTAAAAATATTAGGTTTCTGGAAAAAAATATCTTTATATTTTTCCTCTACTTGTTTAAAAATAAAAATTAATAAATACTTGATATTTTAAAATCTTTTTTCAGACTGCTTGTTCCGAAATCACCGTGTATGTGTGTGTTTATATGTATGCTTCCGGTCATAACAATCTTTTGTGAAAATTCTTTGTCAATCTTTCTGTCATTACATTTTAGTTTGTCACATATGTCCATATATTGTTCTTAATATATTTTGTGTACAAATCTACCTTTTTCTGCTTGTAATAGAGAAATTTTTATTTTTGTAAGCTACGATATATTATTTTGATAAAATATGAAATATGATTTCTTTCTCGTGCATTTAACACATTTCTGATCCTTCTTTAAAGAAGTAGACTTTTGTAAATTTTTCTTCATTTATAATCATCTCTCGTTAAATAATAACGCATGCAATAACGGAAGATGGTAAAATATATGTAAGTAGAAATTGCGTAACAGAAAGTTATTTAAGAGCCACTTGTTTAGCCGAGCAGAGACGTTTTTGCCTCTCGTGCCTTTATCGTGGCGGCAAGAAATAAATTTCACTTGGAAAATTGATTTCTTCCTCATGCGGTGTCTTCCTACTCGCCGATGTCTCGTCGACGATTACCCCGAGATTTATCGAATCGGTAATAGCATCAGTAAAAGAAGCAAATCGGATTTTTCTGTTCGATCGCATCGCCAAGGTCGTCTGGACGACGATGGAGAAAGGAATGGAGGCGCCATTCAAAAGGCAATTACACGGAGCATCCATGCTCCCTCTCTCCTCTCCCTCTCTCTGTCATGCTCACTCTCTCTCTCTCTCTCTCTTTCTCTCTTTCCCTCTTCGTAAAAGTATCGAAAGAATGAGAACTATACGGAGAAAATGATAAATTTAGAAAAAAGAGACACGCATTCTTCCTCTGGATGCACATACTACAGCATAATGTGTCACCTTTGATTATAATTACATGTTGAACGGCAACTCGAAGGATAAGCAAAATAATAAAATATCTTACCTCCGCGTTTATTTGTCCTTACATCGGGCATTCGAGAATAGACCGCATTATAATTGCAACATACGCAACTGTAAAGTGCAGCTTTGACAATAATATATTCTATCATAAATAACTTTTTATTTGAATAGTAGGAAATGATTATAAATGGTTATAAATCAAATGTTAGATTTTTAATCGATCGGAAAAGAATAGCAAAGGACGAATAATTTTCTGACCCATAAAAAATTATTTGCCTAACACGAGCGATCTCGTGCTGATCGACAAATTGCGTGTTTGAATTATTTGAAAATATTATTGGATGTAAAAGATATTTTGTTGGTTAATTGTAACGTTGTATAATTTTCTCATTTTATGCAATTGTAATGTATAATAAAATCACAAAAATAGTCGATTTGTGGTAATTTTAAAATAACATATATTTTTAAATGTGTGATAAATAAATTAGATATATTTTTAAAATTTACTTACGATATTATAAAAATTGCAGCAATATATTAAACGACACGCATAAGTCTTATAAAAAGTATCATAAAAAGCATCATAAAAGTTTTAAGGGTTTCTCATAAATCTGTAAGAATGTCACAAAAAGAAAAACAAAAAAGGATTTTACGCGTCAATGCATGTCGAAGAACATCCGTGAAAGTATTATAAAAATGTTTAAACGTTCGAAAGGGATCGTAAAGCTTATTATCCGGTGTAAAACGTTCGCTTTCATTAAAGAAAGTATTTATATCATCCCGGAAAACTATTCTGTGAGACTTACAGTTTCGTGTAATCGTTCTCATTCGTCCGTTATGCTAAATATATACCTGAAATTTATTACAGAGAAATTTGTTCTCTTTTAGAAAGTAAAAGTGCATATTTGTATTGATATTATTAATAGTTCCTTAATATTATAAATTAATATTATAAATTAATATTATAATATTTTAAATTTTAATTTAAAGTAGCAATATTGATATTTTAATAATAAAAAAGGTTATAATTGTCAGAGAAATTGTAACAAGAGTCACAATTTTTGCTAGAGATTTTTGAAAATTTCTTTTGATTAAATAATTTAATTAGTAATAATTAATTCCTTTTTTTGTATCTCTAAGAATAAAAGAAAGAATATAATAATTCAATAATTTTTAAATATTTAAATATTTAATGTATCACGTAACGTTTGCGATTCTATAATTTGAATGAGCAACAGACTCATACGTTCGATTTCACTTAATGCACGACAAAATCAAAATAGAGCAGAAATGACGTCAAATGTAACATCAAATTGTAACATATTTGTCATATTGATCTTGCTTCTCACAGATGAAAATCATTTAATATATCATCGGAAAAGATCAGCGCGTTATTTCGGGAACACTTTCGGCAATAGTGCCAACAACCTTCTTTTATATCCTCGCCATTCTCTTGTTAAAAGCACGGACGTTCCATTGGAAAATTTCCAAAACGCCTTTCACAGTGTCGCATGTTCGCCGGTCGTATCGAAATCTGATCATAAACTTCGCTTTCGCAGTTGTCGAAGATTTCAGATTTGTTCAACTCTCATGAAACTGCAAACGCTTCTGGAACGATTGCACGGAGCGTCAGCGAAGAAATAGAAGAAATTGAAGAATATAAGAAAAATGTTCGCTAATTTTATTTTATTTGTCATTATATATCACTGAGAGATAATATTATTTCTCACTTGCTCATCTAAGAGAATCTACATATTTCCTCTAATGTTGCAGATATAAAGAGAAATTGTGAACTTAAGAATGGAGGATACGTGTTTGTGCAACGAAGTATGCCATGTCGAAATATAGCAAAAAGGTGAGATAAAGATCGAGAAAGCTTGAAATTGAGAAGGAAAAAAAATCTCTATCTGCTTGACGCGAACCTAATACAAAACACACGTATGAGCCTATCGCACATGAGAATGATGTATGTCGGTTTCTTAACTATTTGACGGAGACGAATACGAAGATGAAGAAGATGAAGATAGCGATTCTTACACACCACTTGAAACAGTTTATTGCCATCTGTTTAACCTTTTTTCAAATAAATAAATTTTTTTTGAGACATTGATTAAATAAAAAAGCAAAAATTTAAATTATAGTCAATACCTTATACAAAACTTTATAGAAATTTATTTCGTAAAATAAAATTGTATTGTTATGAAGAATTATATTGTTATGTAAGTAATTACGCATTGTACTTAGGTTTTGTATCTATTATATTCTTGCATCTCATGTATCTTTTTAAATTATCTAAGAACCGGTTTTTTGAATAATTTTATTTGATTCTCTATGTCTGTTTAATACTGATTCTTAATGGAGACAGCTTAATTGGCGTTAAAACTGATTGTGAATGTCGTTTCTGCCATTGTTCATTTGTCAGATAATTCAGGAATATCACGTTCAGTCACTGCATTTAGGTTATACCGACAATTTCAGTTAATAATTAATGTCTTAATGGTGAGTCAAGCCAAAAATAGAGAATCGATTAGAGAAGATGAAGATGTCCTGGAGCTTCACAGATTCCGAGAAATTGCCAAGCTTGCGGCTATACATTACAACGATGAAAAAAAGTTTGAGAGAAGAACGGATCTTTCGCATATTGTGCACGCCAGTTTACACTTCGTTCAACTTGTAAGAAATCGAACGTGATAAAAAATTTATTTTACTTGTGAGCGAATTTAATTCTTATATGCGCAATAAATCTCCAAACTTTATCTCCAAATAAGAACTGAAGACGATAGAAAATAATATCGCATTATCTTCAGTATATGCAATACGTAATTAATAGGAAAATGTGTAAAATGTAAAAATATGCGGTTATATTGCAAGAAATAACAAAATGACTGAATTTATTGTACATAGTATTCTCATATAATATTCACTAAACATTCATTAGGTCGCATAAATCTAAAAATATTCTCACAAACATATGAAGTAAATGCATCATAGGAATATAATATTTCACGATTTCCTCTTTGACACGATAAAAAAACATGACATATAACACCTTAAGATAGCACATCGCTATCGTTACGTGTCTCCCGTGCGAGATAAAATAATTTTAGTCTTGAAACAATGCAACCGACCCAGTTTTTCAGTCGGAATTTGTCGTCGCTGTGCCGTGATTCAGTGCAACAGTTCCGCGATAATCGTGACATCGATATTTTTATTATGTAATCGGATATCATGTGCGTTGGATAAGGACACGCATCGGATGTATTTACGGATGTAGTGTGAGCACGTGTCAATCGATGTACTCCGCGAATTGAAAACGCTTCAGGAGACCGGCGGATTCTCGCAGTGTTTGATTACCCGCGTTCTATTTCAGCTGACAGTTTTGTCACGATCAGTGGAAACCTGCTAAGAGTCTCGTTACTTCAATATACTGTTACGTTCTCGATACTTTACGACTCCTTTCTTTCGACAATTTCATAAAATCCTTCGGCGGAAGAACGTAATAAAATAAATTATTGGTCGACAAAGACAACAGATATTTATTGCAACAACCGTTAGGTTGTTTCCTTTTAATTTTTTTCTATTAATAAATGCAGGGAATGCGTATTCTTGTTCGATCAAGTCTAGATTTCTCACGTAAAAGACAAATAAATCTTGATGTCGATGTGAAATGGAAATTCTAGAATAGACAAGTCCAATAAGAATATGTTTTTTTTTTTGCTAAAAGGGTAGATAGCGTTTCACCAATAAATAATTTTTCTTCATAAATATTGAATTTCCAATGGGCGGCGGAAACCCTCTTTATCTGGTCTTTTTTGTAATAAATTGTAGTCGTAAAGATAGCGTTATCGAACACTCGAAAATTGCATAATAATACATATACAGCAAATATTGGCGAAGATATCTCGCGAGCGCCTAAAAAACTACAATGCAATGCTTTTTTCTTTATATATTTATCCTTTTAAGGACAATTAATTTATTTTTTAAATAATGATTAATTTAAATTAGTTTTTTTATTTGAAGAGAGACATTTTTAAATTACATTTATTGCTGAGAATATTCTTGTTGTTAGACATATCGGAATTATTATGAATATTCTTAGATATTTACATCGGCTATCGAAATTTTTCATTACACACATCACTATATAAATAAATGTGCGCGAGAAAAGGATGACACGATTCCACCATTGCCGGAGGAGAGAAATCCTATTTTCTTCATATATCCTGTCTGCATGCTGCTGAGTCTGCTTCTTATGATCCTCTGGCTTGTTAAAAAAATATTACCTGAGAGGCCTGCGATAGTGAGTTTTTTTCTAAAAATACGTGAAAAGATGTACAAGTGTTTTATTAGTTGACTATGAATATAATTTTGCGATGAATATAATTTTTAACACAATTTTAAAAATTAGGTATAATAATAATTAATAAACAAAATTTTTCTATAGTGACAATCTTAGCGTAACAAATTTTATTTAATTCTATATTTACGTTTTATATACGGAATAAGTCTACAAACGCGATCAGTATAATAAATAAAATTTTAACTGCACTTTTATCAACATTAAATAATTATGTGTTGCTATGAAAATAAACTTGCAAAGCCTCTCACAATATGCGCGACAGGAGCTGTTCTGATGCTTGGGACAGGCATAATGGAGATGAAACATGCCGATATGTACATCGATGTTACCGAATTTACTGACGAAGAAATATTGGAGCATCCTGTCTTCATTCATAATTTTGTAATGTGCATATTATCGCTCTTCGTTATGGTTCTTTACCTAATTCAAGCGTGGATTCTTTTCGACTATTGGCAATGGGTGCGTGAAAATAATTATTAAATGTTATATAAGACAAATTTTTTTATTTTATATAATATTACCAGTTAAATTATCACATTTAGAATATATATTTTGTTATATGCGATATTTTACAAAAGTCTAGATAAATTATAAATCACGATCATTTATTGAAGTCTTTAAAAAGAAATTTCAAACTTGAGAGTTCAAACAAATATTTTTTGTCTTCCTTGAATTACATAATTAGATTGATATGTAAATATCTGTGGTTCTAGATTCGAAAGGAGCAAGATACAAGTGTTTCGGATGAAAGTCGAAGTTCTGATTCTAGTGCAGACACTGACAAAAGTGAGCATTCCGTGAAGAAAAAATCAGAAGAAAAAATCAGTGAATATAATTCGAAACAGAAGATTGGAGAATTGGCACCGATTCCTACCCTGAAAGAAATGACTGCTCTCGCTATAATCGCTGATAGCGTTGTAAGAATTTACTATCTATTCACAACTTTATCGATACATTAGATCTTGAAACAGGTCACGTCTTCCTGTGCCAATAAAAAAAGAAGCGTTTCATGTTCAGATGTAGGATAAGAATTCTATTTTCGATCTATAGAATCCATGGCATTGGTCGTTCTAAGGTTATCAAATGATCAGTAGAACGATTCCTGACTTGAAGATTTTCTCTGAGATGTACAATATACTTGTGCATTGAAAATATTGACGTATAAAAAAGCAAAAATTTTGAGAAAAATTCTTCTGTAAAAAATAAAACTCAGAATTTTTTAATTTGGAATACAAAAATAATTGATTTCTTTTTTAGGATGTGGATGACGAACCAATCATTTATTGCTGTTTCGTCGACTGGTACAATTATATTAAAATAAAAATGGAAAGTAAACCGAAGCATGAATTTCAAGTAATTCACGTCATGTGACATGTCTGAGATTGTTTTTATGAAAATTATTACCGATTTATTAAACATATTCAGAATAGCGATTGCTGGTACATTGTCCAGTCGCTGCTTTTCTGAAGTGTTGAACAGACATCCATCACGCCATCTGAAGAGATTTTGAAATGTCAGTCAATGAAGCTAACTGAACTTCAGCTCTGTGAATAAAACAGTTTATTTATTTGTAAGGAGCTATTTATAAAATAAACGCATTTTTTCGTTCAAATCTACTTGGATGATCAATTCTATTAGAAATAATTTTACTATTAATTTTGGTTTTTTTTTTGTAGTTTGATATGATATCAATAATTAACACAAATGAATAATACAACAATAAAAACGTGCCATAAACAACATTTTACATATCTTTTTAACAAATTTTTATATTTTAAGACTTTTTAAATAATAAAACATGATTTATTTTAAAACTCCTAAATTAATAATCTTTAAGTTGATTATCTTTACGAAGTACGATGATAAATTTGCAACATCAATATTCAGTATACTAATGTTTCACACAAATGATTCATATCGATAAGAAACAGCATATACACGGTAGATTAAATCTATTTGATGAGTTAATCTTTTCAACAGAACGAGAGAAAAATAAAGAGAAAAAACCAATACCCCACATTGTTACTTCAACTAATTATGACATTAACAATATGTGTGTTGTTTAATCGCATTTTTATATTAATTACAAATCTATTTCCATTTTCCAAAAGAATCCACTTTTACAAGAAGAATGCCATAAAAAAAAAACAGAAAATTAGTTAAATTAGTTAAATTGAGCAAGATATTCTATATAATATTTCTATCTATTTTATATTAATATTAATAATTCTAACTTTTAAATTTAATTACTTTCTTTAGGTAGGTATTTGGGGACCGTATATCCTAATAAGAGGCTCTTTTATATCTAGGGCGTGTTAATCTTGCGAGGACCCAACGAAAATGTGTGTTGTATCACAAGTAACTGGCGAAAGGAGGCTAATGAACGCGAACGCGAACGATCGTGGGTAATTTGCTGGTGGCGTACACACGTATACATGCATTTGTGCATGTATGCGTGCGGGTGGGTGTGGAAGAACGATGGCGGAAATAAAGACGGCGAAAACGTAACACGAACATGCGAAGACACTTGTGTGTGGAGTAAACTTTATTGGACGCAGGCATACGGAATATTTCAAGACTGCTCTACAATCGTCGTATCCTTTCGCACGCATGAGTAATATGTGTTAAAGAATGCCTTTGCTTTTGTATATCAGGCATGAACAGATGACACTTATTACGCACATTTGTAATTTTCCCAATGATTGTTAATCTGTGCGATATATAAAGAAAGAATTGTATCATAAGGTTTGATAACAGGCTCTTTAAAAATTACTGATGATATAATGTTGACAGTAAATTCTTCCACAAAATATTTTTGATTATCTTGAGATTGAACATGATTAAAATTATAATTATATTTGATGATTAAATTATAATTATCTTTAAATTTAAACACTCTATGTTTTCACGGATTTTTAATTAAACATCTTAAAATATTTAATATAAATTTAAAAATTTGGAATAAAAAGCTTCTTTTTATATGTATCAGAAGCTGTTCATAAAACCACTCCTGCTTCCAGCCTCACATTTATCTTTTTTTTTTCTAAATCGATAAAATACGTAATGTCATCGTATAGCGAGCGGCGTGATGTCACACTCAAGGCGTAGGATCGACGTAATTTTCGAGTCACTACCCAATTCCAGGGATTTTGTTTTAAGCTTACAGATAATATCTCGGAATTACACACGATTACAAAAAATAAGTAATCGCTAAATAGAATCTTCACATTTGTGATAAAACGAGATGACATAAATGACCAATTTAGAAGTCAAGTGGCTGACTAAATAGTAACATATAATTTTGCAATGATATATTGACTGAATACAAACTTACAAAATAAATTAGAGAAGCTTTTTTTTCAAATTATAATAAAGTAAATCCTATGAGCAAAACTATTTCTCTTTCTTAAATTTTTTTTTCTTTCATAGAGATATTAATTACAATTGATTAAGTATAAATTTATGAAAATAGATAAGTTTATTTCTCAGAACGAATTACGATTGCTTTGGATTTTATGAGTTTTTACTTTTGTACACGCAACTTTGTCATTTCGTTGCTTTGCTAATCGTATTTTAATTTCGTTCTACATTAAAAACCCCGATAAAATATTTGTTTATGGTAACATCCGCCAAGCCCATCCACAACCAAAATGAGCGCCACTGGACCGTAGCGTCTGTGCTCACTCGATGCGTGAACACCATGATGTAAAAGTCGACGTGTTTCCGTCGATCGTAAAAATCGAGGCTAGCTGACGCGCCTCCACAATGCGTGGTCGGTCTTCAGCATCAGTCGTCGTTGAACCCTCGTCTCGCGAGCAGCTACGATCGTCCGGCGAATCGAAAGTGTGAACACGTAAGTACGCTTCACGACGCCGAACACGCCCGACGCTTGAATGAATGGCCTTCCGAAATCTTCTTACACACTTTTCACCAATTGGAAATTTAACGAAAATATTGATATTGGGAATGTTTTAAGACGCTTCCAACGCCGCGGGTTCTTTGTTCGTACTGTTCTTTTGTGTGCTGGTTTGTGGATTAGCCTTGACCCGTTGGAATAAGATATTAGAATAACAAACGATATACGCTGCTCCACAAACGCACGAAAATTATTGTAAAAAAATTTGCAAAAAGATATAGAATATATTATCGACTATAAAATTGAATGTCAAGGTTTTATTTTTAAAGATATTTTAAAAGAGAATATATATAAACATGTTTGTATATATGTACGTCTTATTAGAAAAGTGAAACAATATTTTGTTAGGATAAATATATATTAATTTTTTTTTATTAAATAACTCCGATGATGCCGTACTATCTTTTTTTATATTTCAAGTGACATAATTCATGAAGAAAATAAGTATGTAAACTTTGAAAGTATTGTTTATTTATATACGCAGGATATAGGATATTTTTAAATGATATTTGTTACAGAATGTAAAGATCTTAAAAAATTAAATTAAATTAATTTAAATCTTAAAAAATTAAATTAAATTAATTTAAATTAATTAAAATTAAGTTAAAAGAGATGTAGGATAGCATCGTATTACGTGTTATCAAAAATTTAGTTTTGAAATACTTTATATTTAATGTTATTTCTTAAAATCGAAAATATAAAATTATTTGTTACAAAATTTTAATAATGTTGTTTAAATATATAAAAGAAATATTTAAAATTATTAATATTAATAATTATATGAATATGAAAATTTAGTGATTTGACAATTTGTTTTCATTATTTTTGCAATGTTCTCTA